TCAAGCTTGATTCATAAGAATCGACTTAAAAATTTCCTAGCGGCACTTTCTGCCAAGCGTAGAGAACCTTCTTTTCCGGCAGCGGTGGTAATACGATGTAAAGATACGAAATCTCTCCAGATAAACATGAAGGAATTGACTCAATATATATTATATAAGTATATACTTAATTTACCTAAAATATTTAAATAAAAATCTTACTCCTGACCGATAAGTTTATCGACCTAATTTCGAAATACGCGCGCGATATCGAAACTGGCGATACCTGCGCCGCCAGCGTCGAAAAAGTGAAAGTAACGTTTCTGATTATGACGTCATCATACAAGAACGTCGGCGTTAGGAGGAGGAGGAGGAGGAGGAGGAGGAGGAGTATCTTAAAAATAAATTTTCACATTTGGACTTTGCGTCGCAATATCTCCGCTCGTAGGGCACGTAGCGGAATATTATGAGAGAAACCCCCCCCTAATTGGACCCCAAGCTATCGATCAAGCCTACTTAGAACTTGATCCGTTCACTCATTATCGAGATCTCAACATCTCGGGTACTCGCAACCCGTCGCGTCGCGTAAAAGAGTCACGGTCGGTCTCGCTCCGCGTGTACTTGGCGCGAGACACTACCGTGTCTCTTGATATGTTATGAAATATTTATAGTAATATGTTATGAAATATTTAATTGAATCAAATCAGGAAGTTAGGCTGTGTGAGTGATCAGTTGAAACATGTTTGATTATTCTGTATGCTTTGTACTTCGAGCAGATTCTTTTCTTGTAGATATTTAAAATACTAGTATTTATATAACTGCGAAAGAATTTATATGTGTATCAAATTTTATTATGTACTTTAAATCAATTATTCACATGTATACCTGATACGAGTTTGAAATTGGTTTCATTAAAAAATATAACATTTTTACATTTTATTAGTAGGAAAAACTGAGTATTATGCCGCAAGGTGTATGTACAGTGTAGCGTATAAATGTACCTTATATAAAAATTGAATAAAATTTTTTTTATTAAAATAAAGTAAATAAACTACGTGAGATTTTGTAGAATTTATTAAGTTGAATTTATCGAAATATCTCGCTCACGATTTTTAATTGTTGGGAGGTGGAAGAAATCCACGCGTGCGTAGTAAACGTTTTTAACTTGCACACTTTAGTATGGCCGATTTGTCCAAAACACTTTGTTTCATTTGACAATACGTTTCTAGCTGTATTTGTGAACACTTCAGTATGCAATGCCATCTGGATAAAGCATTATTTTTTGACGTATTTGCTCAAAGAACGTGTCGCGTTGCTAAACCACATTGCTGATCCAACTATTTGTACGCGTATTGATAATTTCGATTTGTAAAAAGATGGAGAATTCAGAAAAATCAGTCGAAGACACCAAAGATGAAAGTAACATCGAAAGAATCACGTGGAAAGATTTGGTAAATATCTGGCCACAGTGATCCCAATTATAACCTCAAATGAAGTTGTGCACGTTGCTAATAACGCTGTCTGTAAAAATTTGCGTGAAAGATTATTGATGTACTAAAAAATTACACAATATGTATGTTTATTGTTCCCGAAACGAGTTACGATCTCAAAACCATTGACTTTTTAATCAGCTTGTAAACCGAATTATAAGGCCTGTTTTTTTATCGGGCTGACACTTTCTTCCTCACTTTTCTCAAATTTTAAACATATATTATTTTTAATATGAGTGTATATTAGTGTAACAATAAGAAACAGACCTGTAACATGGGATGAATTTTGGAACTAAATTTGAGACAAGTTAATCGTTTCTACAAAGAACAATATATCATTCCATGTGATAAATATAATCTTCAAATTTTATAATAGAACAGATGAAATTCATGAATAATACTTAACGTAAAAAAAATTTCATGTAACATCTATGTAATATTAGGCCACTTTATACAATTAGAATAGCTTGTAAAAATAAAAAATATAAGTCGTACAGATGTTTATGAACTTTTTGATAATATACTTTAAATGAATAAGTAACCGAAGAGAATAATAATCGCTGTGTTACAGGGACTCGTGGACACACTCTGCAAAACATGTTTAGAATTAAAATGGAAGGAACCTACCAGAATTCAACAGGAAGCTATCCCTTTGACGCTTCAAGGTAATTTAAACAATGATTTTATTAAGATCAAATCTGGAAAGTGATAACGATTATTTTCTATTGACAGGCAAGGATGTGATTGGATTGGCGGAGACTGGATCAGGAAAAACTGCTGCCTTCGCGTTACCTATACTACAAGCGTTATTAGAGAATCCTCAGAGATACTTTGCGCTAATACTGACACCTACAAGGGAATTGGCATTCCAAATCGCAGAGCAATTTGACGCGTTAGGTAAGAAGAATTTATTTGACTTGTAAAATGTTCCGATTTATATCATGTTACAATTATTTTAGGTTCCAGTATGGGTGTGAAATCTGTAGTGCTAGTAGGTGGAATGGACATGCATGCACAAGGCATAATACTCGAAAAGAAACCCCATATTATCATCGCTACACCTGGTAGATTAGTCGACCACTTGGAGAATACAAAAGGCTTCAATTTACGACAGTTAAAGTTTCTGGTAATTATATATCTCTTGATAGCATATGGATTTATTTTGACAATTATCACATTGATTCTAATCTCTCTCTCGTTTTATTCGCAAGGTGATGGACGAGGCAGACCGCATCTTGAACATGGATTTCGAGGTAGAGGTTGATAAAATTCTCAGAGTAATACCACGAGAAAGAAGGACGTTACTATTTTCAGCAACGATGACAAAGAAGGTGCAGAAGTTGCAACGTGCATCCTTACGCAATTTCGTGAAAGTTGAAGTGTCTACCAAGTATCAGACCGTAGAAAAACTGCAACAATATTACGTATTTATTCCAGTGAAATTCAAGGTACGAAATATAAACGATATAACTGTTAGTCACAAAAAGAAATATATACTTTTTATATTTATATGATAAAATTGTCATTTGAAATTAAGCATTTATTGAGACTCATAAGACTTTTCGATGTTCTTATTTTTGTATCGTGTGATAGATTAATATGATTAAATTTTTGAAGTGAAACTTCTTTAGGCACGGTAGTGAGTTCGATTCGCGACACGAAAAAGTGTAACGGAAGTGAAACTTCTTTGGTACGGTAGTAAGTTCGATTGTGCGACACGAAAAGTGTAACGAAAATTTGACCAATAGGCGTACGGCGTTGGCGAGACGGTTCTTCTTCTGGCACGGTAGTAAGTTCGATTATGCGACACGAAAAGTGTAACGAAAATTCGACCAATAGACGTACGAAATGAAACTTCTTTGGTACGGTAGTAAGTTCGATTGCGCGACACGAAAAAACGTCACGAAATAGTGTCACGAAAATTCGACCAACAGGCGTACAAAGTGAAACTCTTTTTGGATCGGTAAGTAAATTCGATTTTGCGACTCGAAAACGCGTCACAAAAATTCGATCAGGCGTACGGCACTGGCGAGACGGATATAGTGAGAACTGCGTGTAACACTATATTTTCGAGTTGCGGGCGGCTTGGAGTGACTAATTCCGTTGCATTGTTTTTGTATTAATTTCAGAAAAGTTATGGCAAAGCCTTGCCTTCAGAAGTTTCACTTTTAACGCGCGTGGCGACCATGCGTTCATTTTTTTTTATTCTTTTTTCCGACTTTTGCAACTTAATTATAAGTCGTTGATTGTAACGGTGACGAGGAAAAGTCGGATTTATTAGACTGTTAATAGATAAGTAAATGTGCTATTTGAATTAGCTAACTGAATCAATGTTTAATTATAACTGTCGCCAATATTTGTATTTTTGTGCAATTAGAAATATATTTCTTTTAAAAATTAAAATTTATTTTTTACGTAGCATGTTTCTCATTTGTATTATTCTTGAGTTAATTACTGAATTATATTTAATATTCTGAAATTTAGATTAAGTAGATAGTTTATTCTTATCGTCTGAATATTTTTCCATTTAGGCTTGTGGTTAGCGCCGGTGTTGTACATCTCATTAGTATAGCATTAGTCGGCTGGGGCTCAGGCAGAGAAAAGGATTATTGTCTGGAACCAATACCCCTGCATATGAAGAGAAAACAGCTGCAGCAATAATGTTATACTAAACGTTATAATAGTGTCAAAATTGATGCAAGACTACGATTGAATTACGCTAACGTACGTAATATCAAATTGATAGTGTAGACACTATCAAGATTGAACGAAAATTATAGCTGATTGTGAGATTAAATAGCAATAGTGTTTTCGTTCATAGATTTGTGCCTCGCACAGTTCCTAGATATCTGCCAGGCGTTTGTAATTATTTGCCTATATACAGTCCAGTTTTGCAACAGATATTGTGCAATTTGATATCGAATTGAAACGCAAATATAAACGTAGCAAGTATGTTTGAAGTGAAACGCGTTAATAAAAGACAATATTTCTCGTACGTGACGAATTAAGAGTTGGGATATGTATCACCCATGTGTGGCATATAATGAAGGCGTCATTAATGCCTTCCTAGCTGTGTTCTTGGGATTTCTATAGTGCACGTTACATGTACTATGCTTCAGGTGAAAGGTATTAATGACGCCTACTATACATTTTGTCATGTTTTATGCATCGATATTATGTTAGTTCATAATAATATTTGTGATTTCAAAGCGACATTAATCGATTTACGAAATTTACGGAAAACGAGCATTTTATGTGTAACAATCAATTATTTATGATTGAAAGTTATGCGCTATTCGCTTTACATGGCATAAAAAGACGAGATTGAGCATGAAAAAACGCTTTATTATAGCTTAAT